CGGGGGACGTCCCGTCCCCACGGCCAGCGAGGAACCTGAAAACACCCGCAAGATCCGGCAGCTTCAACTCGAAATCACCTCTGGGTTTTCCTCTGGGGTACGAGTTACGATTGTAGCAACTCTTTACAGAGCAGAGGTCGGTATCTTAATATACCTATAAAATTAAGATCGCTCCGTGCTGCGACATCCCACTTTTTTTTTTTTTTTTTAAGGAAAATGATGGTGATGGTTTCCTGAAATCCAGATCAGGTCTCTTTGGGAAAGACCACAGTCTAGTTTACTGCAAAGACTTTCGATCCTCACAGCCACTTTCCTGCCTGCTGACTTACATGAACGCTGCTGAAAGGCCTGTCTTCGTTTTCGGAAGGCAGCTGGTTTCCCTTTGGAATCACAAGGGCTAGATAAAAAAGTTTGACTTTTTTTTTTTTTTAAAAATACAAGTTATGAGAAGCGAAAGGATAACGTTCGCACCCACTCTGCAAAGCCTCCTTCGGCTTTGGGTAAAGTTTATCGAGGCCCAGACCTGAAGGTTGGTCCTTTAAAGAGAAAATGGAACTGAAATACAGATTTCTTTGTATTGGACGTGAATATTCAGCCAAGCAAAAATTAAACAAAGCCATGAAAATCTTGTGGCCTGGCAACAACAAAAAAAAAAAAGCCTTTTACCCCTCCTAGTATAACGACAGCGGAGACGAGACCCCTTATTTATATTTCATTCACTGAACTCATCAAACCCTCAGTTTTCACTACCAAACGCAGCTGAGCGAGGCAGTATTATTTATGCAAATGAACACAAATCAGTGCAATAACACACCACGGGATACGGTGCTTTAAACATTGACTCCGCTAGATAACCGCGACGACCCGCAGCAGATGGAACGCGTTTAACCACCCCGATTCCGCTGCCACGCCTATCGCTGCACGCAAAACCAACCCCGCCGCGTCGCGCGCAGCTCCCGCCCCGTCCCTCGCCCGACGGGAAGAGCCAGTACCTTGTATTTTCCAACAAACGAAGGAAACTGGAAGTTTGGACGGGAAAGCGAAGGAGCTTCGAGGCGATGGCGCGTTACAGCCTGCAGCGGTCCCCGGACTCAGCGGGTCGGCGGTCTCAAGCTTTAACTTTTAAGAGAGTTTTAGGAATAATAAGGATCCATCTTTACGTCCCCCACCGACCGAGGGACGGGGCCGGCGGAAGCAGGCGCCCAGGTTCTTCTTTCGAGGCTGATGTACGCGTAGCATGCCGTGTTCGCACCAACCAAGCGTAACGAGTTTTGCTTTAATTATTTATAGCATAACCAGCAAGAGCAGCCCAAGAACTTTTACATCTGCTATTCAAGAACCCAATTGGATAAGCTAAGTAGAAAGCACATTAAAAAAAACAACAACCCTTACTCGGATCAGGAGAGGGCTATATTCCAGATCTGAAATGCTGTGCATGACTATCACTTTATGGCAAAACACGATATTAAACACGATGACAATTTCTCAGTGATTTCCCTATTCTGTTTCTTTCTAACACCACCAAAACCGACAGCGAGGTGCCAAGGGCATCCAACTTTCGTTTTAAATGGAGGCAAGAGTCCTCTTTAAACGAAAGCAGATCTAGTATTTGCACAACAGCTATTTTACGGTCATTAATAACTGCCTATTTTCCCAACCACGCATAATTGTAATTCAATGCCACGCATACGCCATTTAACACACGTCGCTGCAGTGTTGATACAAGAAAAGAACATTTGATGCCCTCACATTTATTTCTGTCAAACTCAACACCAACTATTGGCACTAACTACTGAGAAAACCCAAGTAAGTTTTTAAAAACACACTATACACACGAAGTTGCCGCTTTTCTTCCAGAAATCCCTTAGCAAACGTTCTCTGCAGCTTCACGGGGCGCTTTTCCACGGCAGGAAAAGCCAAGGTGGTTTTTCAGCATTGGTGCAACTGCTGCTGCGCTCCTGATGGGTTAGATTGAAGAGTGGGGGCAACCTCGCGTCGTCTAATCCACCTCGGAGCTCAGCCGCTGCCCCGGCGCTAGAGAAGGTTCGTGTGTTCTTCTAAATAAAGAAAACTAACTTCATTGCGACTCCGAAATCACAGTTTCGCAGTCACCCTCGGAGGAGGCCAGCATCTGGACTTCTTCCATCTTTGCCTCATCTTTAAAACGCTTCGAGGGCCATTTAATCTTCATGGGAGGCTCTCTCTGCTCCTGCAGGCGATGGCTTTTCATGTGAGCGTTCCTACCTTTTATCTTGTCAAACACCCTGGAAGGCAGAAAACAAACAGGGGTGTCTTTTTTATAATTTTTTTTTTTTTTTTTTTAAATTTGATAAACACTTTTAAACCAAGCTTCGTTATTTCTACTTTTGTGAGTGTATTTCGATGCGTGGTACGACGGAGTCTCGTGGCCTGGTTCTGCCGGTACCCCTGGCTGTGTGGGAGGTCGGTGGTTAAACAAGACCGAGGTTTGGGTTGAAAGTTGGTCGTGAAGCCAAGCAGAACGGCAAGAAGGCGAAGGGGCTGGGGTAATCCTCAAGCTGCCCTTAGCTCCGCTTCCCCTCTGCCCCCCCCGCGTGGCTTCCAAAGTTAAAAATTCAATCTTAGCCAAAAGCAGGAGGTTTCTAGAAGAAAGATGAATAGCTACCTTTCACACTCCGTGCACGGAAATACGGCCCGATCACCCGCGCTTCCAGCCTGGCACGAAGGCCCGCTCAGACTGCAGGACGGACCGCCTGCGCTGCGGGCCGTCTTTTTAGAACCCTTCTGCTTTATCTTCGCGCTTTCCTTAGGCAGAAAACGGCGTCTCTTCTTGGGGCTGCAAACAGCCTGTAAACCAGAGAGCCTTGATTAATTTTTCCTTCTCTTCAGGAAGGGGGGTAGCTAAAGTAAAAAAAAAAAAACCGAGCTTGAAAATCTCCGAATTGCCCAGGCAATTAGAACGCATCCAGCACTAAAATAGCTCGGCCCAAATCTGCCCAGGTGAACTCCTCTGAACCCTAAACAGCCGAAAAACTGCTTTAATTTGACTGTGAGGATAGGGTGCAAACACAGACCTTGAAAGAAAAAACGTATTATTTATACTACTCTAAGCAGAATAGCACTTTCCTATACAACAGGTTTAAAACGTGGAATTACTGAGCACCAAAGTTACATGGTTACCCAGTTTCTATCACAAAAATAATTTAAAAAAAAAAGTATTTCTGTGAACCACACTCCTCTTTACTGGCAAGGAACGCTTTAGCAATCCCTGTGCAGAGCCACGTCACCAGCGGTTCCTTTTACGGGATGTTACAGAATATCCCTGAAAATCATCACCAAGTTTAAGGCGAACAGAATTATTAATGTTAGTAAGTAGTTGGGAATTATCTTATTTAAATCAGCAAGGGGGCCAGCACATTAAGAACAAATACTGTCTGTAAAGGGTAACAGGAGCGTTTTAGCAACGGTGCTAACTACTGCTAAATACTGCTTTCTTGTTTCAAAGCTGTTCTACAGAATAAGTTTATCAAAGCAGCAGCAGCGTAAAACCAGAACCTCTCCCTGGGCAGCATCTGCTGCACCTTTCAGAGGGCATCGGAAGACAGTTTCGTGAGGAGCGGCATCTCGCACAAATCCCCAGCAGTTTTTCTACCTTTTCTCCAGTCTCCTCCACCTCATTCTTGTTTCTCTTGACCTTTTTTTCTGTTACTTGAGCTTGACTGCAGCCAATTCTATTTTTTTTTCCCCAGGTATAGTAATATTCAACACACTGGGATACAGTCTTAGTCTGAATCTATTGTGAGAAAAACAGAAGCAATCTATAATGGCAATACTGTCGTAAAACAAGACACAGATATGCAACAAATCCATCTAGCACGCTTTTCCTTTCCCCCATTCTCCCCCGTTATCGCAGTGCAACGCACGGGTGAGATCAGTCGGAAAGCAAACCTTCCTCTTCTGAAAAAGCTGTAAAGAAGCGTTGGAAGGGCAGAATTGTACGTTTCAGACAGGTAGTCAGCATGGCATTTCATTCGTATTTTAATATCTCTGGCATTTTGTACCAGAGAGATTAAATATTCTGTTGCTCTATACGTTAGGGCAAATAATGTCTTGTACCGGTGACTTTTTAGCATTAAGAAGCAAACCCAGGACTCCGGCGCACAATTCAAAATACAGCTTTCTGGGTTAAAACTGCCAACGCTAACAGCCCTACAGATCCACCTCGGTTCTAACGGCTCTACCTGCTTCTGTATCAGGTAAAAATCCTTCTTGTGAACACGAAAAGCCTTTTTAAACAACTGCTTCTCGAGAGGCGTCCAAGTATCTGAACCTAGTAATAAACAGCAACACGCAAATTATTAGATCACTCACAGCCTAAGAGAAACCAGCGCAATTTATTATTCACGCATCGACATCTCTCCTCCTCCAGAAAGCAATTACCGAACACAGCAATGAATTCATTAGCGATAGTAGTTATTACCGCCAGCAGAGAAGCCCTGCGTGCTGTAAAGCACGGGCACAGCTGAAAGGAAGAGCGAACGGCAGCGAGCGTTTGGCACTGCCACATTTCAGCGTGCTTCTCCCGTTGGGTGTCACTGCAGGGCAGCGCGCGTTAAAGCAGCGGGCTGAAACGCGAGAACGAGGCATTCCCCACGTAAAAAAGCACCGTAAACAGACTAAAACTGAAGCGCTTTGCCACTACTTTCCCCGCCCCAAAGAACACGAATCGTTGTTCACACATTTTTTTTTTTTTAAAAAATAAATTCTTTAAATCAGAATACAGAAAGGGAACCGCAGTATCTGTCAGCAGCCCAGGTGAAGGAACAAGCTCTGCTTCCAGTTTACCTGCGTAGTGGTAATTAGCCAGAGGATGGGATTCAGATCTGTGAGGTGCCCCAAAAAGCATCATCTCCAGAGCCTCCTGCAAGATTTAATATAAAAAGACTTCAGATTCCCCCTCGGGAGGAGCCAAAAGGTAAATTCTTGCTTTCAGCTGTTTTCCTACTTCAGTGATTCAGTCCACTGCAGGAAGATTTTGCTTAGTTCAGCGCTTTGGGATCACCTCAGCCCACCGGAGTTTATGGAAATGCTTCCTCAATCCACACCGAAGCGTTTTAAGGAAAGAGAACCTCCGGGGATCTCTGGGGACCAGGCTGCGGGACCCCACCCGCCACCACCTCCGGGAGAAGATTTCTCTCTCCCTGCCGCAGCAGACGTGCTCGTAGAGCCTCCTCGTGGAGACGCAGCATACGCCGACTCCTCTGCTATATTGGAGTGTTGTTAAATCCCGTCTCCAAAGAACACGGAGCAAGGCGGACCCACTCAGGGCTTAACCGGGACCAGGCTGGAGGTGTTTGCTCAGCCAGGGGCGTTGCGATTGTCAAGAACAGGATATTTATCTAGAGCAGACCTCGGGTTTTATCTAATACGGCAATTCCTTCATTGCTAGCATTGCGGGGAGCAGTACTTGTATTCTCCAAATTGTCACATCATTTACAGGAGACAAAACAAGCTCTTATTTATACGCCAGGAGAGGGTCTGCAATCCCAAGAGACGTTAATGCAGACTGCGGCAACGCAAGAACTCTGCGAGTTTAACAAAGAGACCAGATTCCAGCCTGTGGAATAGAAAACTCGGAGCAGCTCCCACCAGTGACAAAGGCTGTCCTAGTCCCTTATTAATTACGACCAAATAGCTGCTTCTTACCAGAACGTTGCCTTGTGCTTCATGCAGGCAATGCAAGGCGAGCTCGAGGTTGGTTCCTCCCCCCGGCATGGCGCTGGAGCAGGCCATGTTGAGCAGTTCCGTTACTACAAACGCAACGGAAACCAGCAGAAAGTCAGTTTCCGTCAAGAAAGGGGAAAAGGTGCGATAGGAGACAGAGGGAAAACAGAGCAAGTGCAAGAGGCAGACTGGAGACCAAGAAAAGGCACAGAAAAACCTCGGGTGTCCCAACTGCCCGGGTATCGCCGTCTCTTCCGTAAGAGCAGCTTTGGTTCCAGTAACTCCGGAGACGAATCTCCCCTCTTCCGAGGTCGCTGCAGACGAGGTGGGACAGATACAAACGCCCCCGACCATTTCTCATGGAAGGTGCTACCGAGAGCGTAAGTTATTATTCACCGTTGTACCAGAACTGAGCCATCTCCTTCCCGCAAATGCTACCACGTGGGAAGGTGGTCAAGAAAAGAAGGGAGAAAACCCGAACGTACAAAAAGCTGCTGTGAAAACGTGGAATTTTTGAACCCTACTATCTCGGGGGTGGCCTTGGAAGAAAAGCGTTAAAGAAACCTTTGTCTTGCGTTTCCTGGTTAGTTGCGATATCTCCCCAGGGCTTCCACACCAACGATGCTCCCTCTTCATCCTTTTCCGCTTGCGATCTATCCCGGAGGTTTGGTATCTCTGCCTGAAACCGACGCCCAACGTTGATGCGTCTAAAGCAAGAAGAACGAGGAGGTGAGGAAGGCAAGTCGCGAACAGATACGTCGCGACAGCACGCAGATACATACACGCGCGCTTAGAAAGAGGGGAGGCGTGACGAGCAAGGCTCGGCTGTCATAAATATGGTACGTCTACAACACACATTTCCCAGCGAAGCATTACTAGCCCTCCTCCTCTCTCCAACAACTCTCACAGCCACTTCTTAATACTAACGGCCTCATCGCGCTATCCCTGGAATCCTTTCGTCCTCGGTCAATCAAGAAAGTTTGCTCTCCCTCCCTCAAAACCTCACAAAATTTGTGAGGTTCGCTCTGAGGCTCGTAGGGAGCAGCAAAGAGAGAAGGCTGCGACCGCAAAAAAAGACCAAGGCCCCTGTAACGGCGTGTAGAACGAGGAAAGCGGGCACCTTTATGACATCAGCGTAACCAGTAAACAAAACCAGTACTTCACTGGGGTAGCAGCGGGCATTTTGTTGCAACTTCGTTCTGGCCAGCACGCGGTTATCATCTGGCCAAAAAAAGCCGCCATTAATGTCATCAGGACAGCGCGTCGGCCAAGCGATCGTGGGAGGGAGGAGGTCAATGCCAACTTCCAAGGCCCGCACGCTTGAACCAGCCACGGGCTGACTTCCTACACTCCTCATCGCCCGTTTTCCAAGCGTTTGCTACTATTCTAATCGCTATGCCATAACTCACGGCTGAATGCTGATTTTGGTGTTATCCTTCATCAGACAAAATCCAAAGTCCCTGTCCATTCTGCCTGAAAGATATAAAAATGCTCAAGATAAAAATCATTCTGTCGAGCCCGTCCTTTAGCCTTACTTCACACCCTCATCGTCGCAAACCACGAACTATCCTCTCGGAATTTCCCTCATTTCAGTGAAATTGCTCACTTTTTCACTCGGAAGCTCTCGAGATGGACCATGCGGATACAATTCCGCAGCTGCATCTGACCACGGGTCAGAAGTCAGCCACGCAGGGATCGAGCAGTTCTGCGGTTTCGGGTAGTGAAAGCCACTATCAGAGCAAAACCCTGGCAGGCTGTTCACATCCCCTGTTCCGCACCAGGAATCTCAAAGTAGAAGTCACATATTTCTATTTTTTTAAAGCCTTCTTTGGAAGGCACGAGCGGAGCCGGGGCCTGCCCATATTTGTAGGCACGACTCTCTAACTCGGCTGCCGTCTCTGAATAACTACAGGTGACAAACCAGCGAGCAAAAGCCGAACCCAGAGGAAAAACCGCTTTCGCGGGGCCGCTGCCTCCGACACGCAGGTGCCCGCGGCAGCGCCGTCGGCAGTTTTACGACAGGATTGTTTGGCTGGAACCACCACATCTTTTCTATACTCAGATTAAGACAAATTTTTACCGCAACCTGGTACAATAAAATCAGGTCGTCAGTTCACGAGTAACTTAAGCTGCTAAACGTAAACCTCCGTATTCCCACTGGCCTGCGTACTGGATGCAGTAATTTATCCTACAGGGAGGTGGATACCGTCTGAATTTACAACGTATCCCAGAGAAAGTGACCGCGGGTCAGTTCTCTGTTTCTGTAAGTCTGTACGATAGCCAGCTGGATTCCTTTCCAGTTCTACTATCTGCCGAGTGCAGGCATCAGGGTTTTATTACCTAATACAGCACTGAGCAGCTGGTTGGGATCAGCGTTAGCAGGGGAAGAGCAGAGAGTGCTGAAATAGAGGCCCGATCCTTCCCGTACGGGGCTGAGCATCGGAGGCGGCGTGTAAGGAGAGCACTGGAACAAGTCTCTCAGCAGATGATCCACCAGGAAGACGGGCGAACGAAGGTTACTCTGGTAACATCCTCCCATCCCCGGCTGGGCTTCAGGGGCCGGCGGAGGTGGGATAAAAAGGGATTTTGGCCGCTTTTGCCTCTTCCGCTTTTTCTGGTGCAAGCTTTCTTTGAGGTCCTTCCCATCCAGGTTTTCCTTTTCAGTAACCTGGACAAAAAAATTTCAACCGTCAAATCCCTGTTTATCAGAGAAAAGCAGCGGAACAAGTTCAAGGCACTTGAAAACATAGAGAAGAAAGCTTGAGATTGCATAGGATTTTGATCTGGGTTTCCTCTAGACTCTCGGTGTCACGATTTATTATTCCGAGCTCAATAACGAACACCAAATCCCCAAACTGGTGCGAGGAGCGCAGCCAGGGGACCCTCTGCTCTAGTCCTTACTCGTGTAGACGGCTCTGGGGAAGCCAACAGACACACTCGTGAGAACAAGAGCTGTTGAAAAGAACCCCCTGCGAGTTTTTTTGTAGTCAGAGAGAGCGCTGAAAGAAAAAAAAGTAAATTCTGAAATCGTCTTGAAGTTCTTTAAATTGCCTAGTGAAATTCCAACTCTTTTCCTAGGCTTTAATGCCAAGTAGCTGTCCTGCATACATACTCTTTTATTGTCACGCAACTCAAGGGGATTAATGGGTTACATATTTCCAATAAATTACGCAGACGGAGCCTGGAACCTTTACCAAGTCCATTACTGTAGTAATTACCACCGAGTCCGTTACCGCAGTGTTATTTGAATATGATTTGGGGGATTTAAGGGAGCCGTAACGCTAAGCTGCTGGCTAAGCCAGTGAAACTCGCACCCTGGTGACCAGTTGGCTCAAAGAAGCGACTCCAGCGAAGTCGGCTAACTAAGGCGTTATCGCTAAATCATTAAAATACGCGAGGAACGCAATCGCTGCCCACCTCGTTCCCCGCTCGCGAGTCCGTAGCGGTCACAGGTACCGAGACAGGAATCACCAGAGGAGCCACTGTTACGTCCTCCGAAGGCATCTCGGGTTTTGAGGGACAGTTTCCGCCTCCGGCTGCCTCGAGCGACAGTTTCTGAGCGTTTACGTCTCCCGCATCGCACACCTTACCGCACACACAAACAAGGGTACGAGGTGTATCTTCTGGCATCACCTCAGGACGTCAAAGCGCTTTGCGAACTGCGCTCTCAAGTCACTTCTGAATCGTTTCTCCATTACATAAAACAACGATGATAGTACAAGCTACTACACCGAGTAAGTTCCTCTAAGCCCAACATAATTTAGCGAGAGCCCAGAACAGGAATCCTTATCGCACCAACTCCTTATTCTTCTTTTTACAAAACTGAGCTCCCAAGTTCACACTATCAGGCTTACGCTTTTCACTCGCGCTCCGCAGCTGTAGAGTAAGGAACGCTGCTGGAAACAGCAGCGGCTTTCAAAACAGTACAATTAGTCTAGAACATCCGCTACGGGACAACCACCCGAAGGGCTTCGACAGCACCGTGATTCTGGATCCCGCTCTTGTACTCACCTGAACTTTCAGGAGAAAGGGTAAGTTACTCCACAGCTTTTATCTCCAGACGCTACAGGCAGGTTTTAAAGAATCCTCATGACCTTAATTCAAATTCCCGTTAAATCATAAGCACCGAAGGATTCGGTTTCCCTTTACCTGCTGTTCCTCCTTCCTTTGTGCTGAATGCCATTGTTCACCACGAAAACACCCGTGGCTCTCCAGACCGTTCTCGGTATAAAACGGCTGACCGCAGCTCTTGCGGAAAAAGCCGCTTTCGCAGTTGCTGCCATCAGCAGGAGCAGCACCGGTCTTATGGCTAAGTGAAAAAAAAAAAAAATCGAGATAAAGGAATGGAAAATTAACATTATAAAGTTGAACCACTTTTAAAAAAAATAATTTAATCATTATCAACGTTAGATCCACGCTTGCATTTCCTGCCGTAGAGCTCATTTCATGTCTACTTGGGAAATCTCTGCAGTTCATTTAGCAGCAAGAGATGTTAACTAGAGAAAAATCCCCGGTGAGACATCAATCACCAGCATGATAAAGACACAGCTTTAAATAAGAGATGCGATTAAGACAGCTTCTCTTTTGGGCGGTTACGGGAATTGTACCTATTAACAGATACGTACGAGTATTGTTTTCAAAGTTACATACATCGCTTTTTAACTGTGCCACCAAAAAAGAATGACTTGCGTTAAAAAACTCCAGAAGCGTTTTCTTTCAATACCACGCATTTCATACCCCGTGGGATTTCTGAAAGATCCCATTTCGGGAGTGGAGAAATGTATCGTTTGCGGAAAACTCCCCCCTGTGAATTCAGCGTTTGGGAAAGGTGACATCGGAAGTCCTGCAGATCGATTTCTGCCTCGCCGTTCCTACAGCCCGGCGAATCCTCGGAACCTCTTCCCACACGGAAACAGAGGACCGGGCAGGCCACCGAGGCCGGCTGGCCCCGGTCGTTATTTTCACGGGGCTCACCAGGAACCACGACTTTCATTTGCTGCCAAAGGGTGATTAAATTCTTTTTTCTTAATGAGACAGCAGCTCCCTTACCTGCGACGGTTCGCAACACTGCAGGAAAGGCACTGCACTGCTGCTCGGAAGGACGTAGATTATAAAAATCTCTTTTTTCCAGGGAGCAGCTTGCTTTCTCGCTCGGTAAACGGCAAGCTGCCTAGCCCGGGCAGCGAGGTGGCAGAGCCACGATTTACTTACAGAGAAAACGCCAGAGGCGTGCAGCCCCTGCAGCAAAGGAAAGTGGCAATTACCAAAGAAGAGGGAAGCATGCTTATTTTTCTTCAGCAGAGAGAACCGAGTCACAAACTCACTCTAAAAAACGTAATTAACCATAAAATTAGCTAATCGCTTTTAAACCCTAAATTTAGGGCCTGCCTCCACGATTATAATGCAATAACACTCTTTACAGGCAGACTGCTCACCGGGAATGAGATGGAGAGCGAAGCCCACACCCCCCCACAGCCACTGGGAAGCCTTCGACGGGGTGAATCCCTTAACTTATTCTAGATTCCCATTTCTTTACTTCCACGGTGAACTTTTGGTCTTTTATTGCGGTAACGTGTGAAAAGAACAAGCCTGGTCATTCCTTATGACATCCTTAATAGTCTTAAACGTTTCACTCAAGTTACCTCCCTATCACGCTTCGGTCGCTGCACGGATTTTTACGATTGCGAGTTAGAAATTAGGTTGAAAGTCTTGTGGTTCTAATTTAAACACCTATTAATTAGCACAAACTAAAGCTAGCCAGACGGAAAGGCTATGTTAAACCTCAACCCCGAGGGAAAAGAAATGCGCCTGACTAGGTGCTAAAAGGCACTCTAGAAAACAAACACCACTCGCAAAACTTCGGTGCCACCTGCTTACCGCCCCGCCGACAAGTTTTCCTCCTTTGCCGCGTTAGTAAGGCTGTAGATATTTCCACCCTGCAGTTAAAGAAACAATAATCGAAAGCAGATGTTATTCTGCCTGCAAGTAAAGCTTTAAAATACAGTCATTCTGTCTTTAAAAAAAGAAACGGAACATCTGAGCTGTTTTCTCCATGAAAATAACACTTTGCACTTGCGCGGCAAAGCGACGCTCATTAACCAATCTCATAAATCTCCACAGTCGTTAATAAATACTCCTCGTAACACTTTGATACGTGCGCGCGCGCCGTGAGCGCACGTGCAAACAGGAATCCCCGTTCGCACAGCGCGGATATCGGACCGCATCGTTCCCGTCGCAAGCCGCACGCGGGGGCGGCCACGCTCCGATCCCTCGGCCGCGCGCGGTTCCCGTGCCTTTCCGAGGAGCCAGCAACAGCAGCAACGCAGCCGGGTTTAACCTCCGCGCGTTGGAAATTCCCTGTCCCGAGGGCTGCCAGGCCCCGTGGCCCGATGCCTGAGGCCGCAGCAACCCCCTCGGGACAGGGCAAGATGTTTTCACGTCTGCGTGTAAGCCTGACATCCAACCAACCACCAAAAAAGCGCTTAAACCAACCCCAAACCTCGGCGCTGTTTAGTCCCCAAAACAGCCGCAGCGCATTTATCCGCAACGCAAGCTTCCACGACTACCCTCAATTAACACATTTCGACTTTGACCTCCAGAGACTAATCTCTAAAGGCCAGAAGTTCGTTTAGGTTGGCTCTTGATCTCCCCGCCCTCCCACGGACAAGGAGACAGCGATTATTTTCACGGGAGAAAGCAGTGC